TAAATAAATAAAAAATAAAAACAAGTAATGTAAATGAAAAGTAAATAAATAAGTTAAATTAATAAAAACAAATAATTAAGTTAAGTAAATAAAAAATAAATAAAAACAAATGAGTGAGTTAAGTAAATAAAAAAAAAATAAATAAAATAATAAAAGTAAATAAATAAGTCAAGTAAATAAATAAATAGGTAAAGTAAATAAATAAGTAAAGTAAGTTAAGTACATAAGTAGGTTAAATAAGAAATAAAGAAATAAAGTTAAATAAGTTAAGTAAATAAAAATCAATAAATAAAGTTAAGTAAATTAAAAAAAAAAAGAAATAAGCAAAGAAATAAATAAAATAAACACACAAGAGTAAACATTTTCTTTTTTACATTTAATTATAAGCTGGTTTATACATTTATTATACAATAAAAAAGAGATTAAAGCATGAAAATAAATTAAACTTCCTAGCATGTAAAATTAAATTTCTCTAAATATCTATTTCTCTTTTAATTATATTGTTGAAATGACTTGAAGGCAGCATATGCTTATATTACAGCATGTGTAAAATTCATGTGTGAATCTTCACTCTTACAAATAAAACATTTGTTATAACTTACAAACAATGGCACAGCTTCAACAATTCAGACCAGAAATAAATGTGAATTAACCATGAGCTTTATTCATCTTAGTCTATATAGCCACTGAATTCATTATCTGGATTTGTAGCATTATTAGGACAGTGTTGCGAGATTGTATTAATCCATACTGTTATCAAATTAGCATCTGTAAGTAGGGATTATTGCATCATATTCCTGCAGTGATTTATTGATAGAATCTAATAATCATTTGGCCTCAGATCTGGCTTGAAGCATTTCACTGCTGTATGTTTGTCTGCATGAGACTGATGGTGTCTCTTCTGAAAGTGCTGTGATTTTGAGACTGGTGTTCTGTATTCTGCTGGGGTCCAGTTTCGCGACCCTGTCCTGCCTGAGCTGGGAACGCCAACCCGAGAGATACAGCTCCGTCTGGACCACGAGCGGAGATTGAGAGCTGGAGCAGAGGACAGAGAAGGCTTTACTTCATCTATCACTCAGGTACGTAAGCAACATGCCTAAAATGAAATTAAATGTTATAGAGGCTTAAGAAGATCATTTCGATGATAAATGGTTCTGCAAATAGAGGAACAGAGAAATAAAAGGTTCTGGAAATAAGTAAAAAATAATCAGTTTTAGAGGAAAAAGAATGTCAGTCCAAATCTAAATTCAATAGTTTTGAAAAAAATGTTCCTTGTACAATATTTTAGATGCTTGTCAAGATCATTCCACCACTGAGCATCATTCCACCACTGAGAACCAGCAAAAGTAAAGTTTCTGGAAGAAAATATTACTCAAAATATTTTAGATGTTTTAGAGGCTTGAGAAGATTATTCCACTGCTGAGAAACAGCAAAAGTAAAGGTTTTGGAAACACGTTTCTTTAAAAGATTTTAGATATTTTAGAGGCTTGAGAAGATTGTTCCACTGCTCAGGAACAGCAAAAGTAAAGGTTCTGGAAATAAATGTTACACTGAATGATTAAAGATTATTTAGAGGCTTGAGAAGATTGTTCCACTGCTGAGGGACAATGAAAGTAAAGGTTCTCGAAATAAAAGTTTCTCTAAAAGATTTTAGATATTTTAGAGGCTTGAGAAGATCATATCACTGCTGGGGAACAGCAAAAGTAAAGGTTCTGGAATAAATGCTTCTCTAAAAGATTTAATATATTTTAAAGGCTTGAGAATATTGTTCCACCACCGAGGGACAATGAAAGTAAAGGTTCTGGAAATAAACACTTTTCAAAAGATTTTAGATGTTATAGAGGCTTGAGAAGATCTTTCCAACTCTAAAAGTAATGGATCTGCAAACCGAGGAGCAAAGAAAAAGGTTCTGGAAAAAATATATATTTTTCATTTAAAAAATAAATAAATAAATAAATAAAAAAAATATTTAAAAAAATTTAAAAAAAAAAAAAAAAAAAAAAAAAATATATATATATATATATATATATATATATATATATATATATATATATATATATATATATATATACATACGCTTTTAGAGGCTGAAGAATGTCAGTGCAAGGCTGAAATAATGATTCTGGAAATAAATGTTTCTTATATGGTTTGAGATGTTTTTAAAACTTGACAAGATCATTCCACCACTGAGAAAAGCAAAAAGCAAAGATTCTGGAAGAAAATGTTGTTCTAAATATTTGAGATGTTTTAGAGGCTTGACAAGATTGTTCCACCACTGAGGAACAATAAATATAAAGGTTCTGAAAATAAACACTTCTCCAGTGATTTTAGATGTTATAGAGGCTTGAGAAGATCTTTCCAACTCTAAAAGTAATGGTTCTGGAAACAGAGGAACTTTAAAAAGGTTCTGGAAATAAACATTTTTCATAAAAAATTTATATACGTTTTGGAGGCTGAAGAATGTCAGTGCAAGGCTAAAATAATGGTTCTTTAAATAAATGTTCCTTATGCGATTTGAGACGTTTTAAACAATTGACAAGATCATTCCACCACTGAGAAACAGCAAAAGTAAAGGTTCTGGAAATAAATGTTTTTCATGCAATGTTATACAGTTTAGAGGCTCAAAAATGTCAGTTCAGAACTAAAAGTAATAGTTCTGGAAATAAATGTTCCTCTTACTTTTTAAGATATTTCAGACACTTGAGAAGATCATTCCACGGCTAAGAAACTGCAAAAGTAAAGGTTCTGGAACTAAGTCTTTCTCTAGCAATTGTCAAAGACTTGAGAAGATCATCCCAACTCTAAAAGTAATGGTTCTGGGGGAAAAAAGAGTCTGCTTAAAAATATATGTAGATGCACCAGATGTAGATGTTTTAGAGGCTTGAGGAGATCATTCCACACCTAAGGAACAGTAAAAGGAAATGTTCTGGAAATTAACCTTTCTCGAAAGTTTTGAGATGCTTCGGGGGATTGAGCAAATTAATCCACCCCTGAAAAGACAGCAAATGTAAAGGTTCTTGAAGTAAATGTTTTTTTTCTTGTAAGATTTTAGATGTTTTTGAATCTTGAGAATGTCATTCCACCGCTGTACAACAACAAAAGTAAAGGCTCTGGAAATAAATGTCCCTTATACAGTTTTATACATTTCAGAGGTTCAAGAATGTCATTTCAAAGCTAAAAAAAATGGTTCTGAAATTAAAGTTTCTCAAAAGATTTGAGATGATTTACCTTTTCATTGCTGAGGAACAGTGGAGGTGAAGGTTCTGGAAATAAACATTTCCCTAAAGACATGAGATGATTTACATGTTTAGAGGATCATTCCACCACTGAAAAACAGCAAAAGTAAAGGTTCTGGAAATAAATGTTTCTCAAAAGTAACAGTGAAAGTAGTTAGCCACCTAAATCAGCGAGCAGCCAGCTTCCATTTTCGATATGGAGAAGTAAAAAGTAGCTTTGGCTGTATTTGTTTGATTAGGATTTTTAAAAAATCTTGCCATACTCTGGATGTTTTGATGCAGGAGGAGGAGAGGAGGCGTGCAGAGCTCCGAAGAGGACTCGAGCTGCAAGGGCTTCAGTCTCATGAGCCAACATGGCCACAGGAAAGAGGCCTGCTGCAACAGGAAGTGAGGTTGTTCCGCCACAACATGGTGATTGTGTACATGAAGCTGCGCTGGATCCTCATGCACTGGAGACTCGGACGCAGGACGGACACCATGGAGGAGGGAGCACATGCTGAGGTGAGCTGAACATACCTGAACCACAACTGACTGAAACTAAAAATTATTTTATATTTAAAAATTTTTCGATGATTTTAAATATAATTAAAAAATATTTCCCAAATGATGTTTAACAGAGCATGGAGTTTTTATATAGTATTTCCAATAATAATTTTTTCTTCTGGAAAAAGTCTGGTTTGTTTTATTTCAGCTAGAATGAAAGCAGTTTTTACTTTTTAAAACAATTTTAAGGTCAATAATATTAGCCCTTTCAAGCTATATATTTTTTTGACTACAGAATTATACTGGTCCAGACGGAGCTGTATCAGAATTATTCATTATACTATGACTTGCTTAATTACCCTTACTGGCCTAATTAACCTAATTAACCTAGTTTAGCCTTTAAATGTCACTTTAACCTGAATATTAGTATCTTAAAAAATATCTGGTCAAATATTATGTACTGTCATCATCACAGTCATCAAGCAAAGATAAAATAAATCAGTTATTAGAAAACTATTATGTTTAGAAATGTGTTCTCTCCATTAAACAGAAATTGGGGAACAAAATATAAAGGGGGCTAATAATTCAGGGAGGCTAATAATTCTAACTTGAACCGTGTATCTTTTTATTTTTTCTTGTCCTAAAACAATAATAATTCTAAAAAATAATAATAATAATGAGAATATATATTTCTTTAAATAATATTGTAATATTAGAATAATAAACAAAAACACAAAATAAATAAATACTACTGAAACAGTTAATGAAAAAGGAAAGTAATAAAATTAAATGTGAAGACTAATAATACAGTCAGTGGTATTTCAATCATGCTTAAATAAAATTATTCAAAAGGCAATTTTTCATTTTAACACTTCCTCGTTTTAACCCCTTCTGCCCTGAATTATGTTCCAAATTTCAGTAGTTTTTAATTTTTAAACCCCATTTTAGGGACAAAATTATTAGACCCTTTAAGCTATATTTTTTCCTGATAATCTACCGAACAAACCACTGTTATACAATAACTTGCCGAATTACCCTAACCTGCCTAGTTTACCTAAATAACCTAGTTAAGCCTTTAAATGTCACTTTAAGCTGTATAGAAGTGTCTTCAAAAATATCTAGTGAAATATTATTTACTGTCATCATGACAAAGATAAAATAAATCAGTTGTTAGAGATGAGTTATTAAAACTATTATGTTTAGAAATGTGTTGAAGAAATCTTCTCTTCGTTAAACAGAAATTGGGGGAAAAAAATAAACAAGGGGGCTAATAATTCTGACTTCAGCTGTATATTGCATCATCAAACATGATTGAGGTCATGTCCATGTGTTGTCCGATAAGTCCATATATTGATTATTGGGACAGGCCTACTTATATCAGATTTCGATATTACGAGTTCTTCTTTTCTCCGTCTTTTAATAAATGTCTTGATGTGGTTTGTGGCAGCAGGTCATCAGTGTGAATTAGTGAGTGCACATGTTGTATGATTTTTCATCTCTCAGTCCATCTGTCAGATCTGCGACAGCTGCTGCGTTCTCACTTCACAAAATGTACTTGTCACAAAAACACTGAACGGTGCAGATGTGTTGCTTCACAGGCTGTCAATGCATCTTTCATTCATTCATTCATTCATTCATATTCCTTCAGATTAGTTTCTTATTTATCAGGGGTCACCACAGTGGAATAAATCACCAACTATTCCACAAATGTTTTATGTTGTGGATGCCCTTCCAGCTGCAACCCAATACTGGGAAACACCCATACACACTCATTCACACACACACACACACACACACACACACACACACACACACACACACACACACACACACACTAACACACACTAACACACACACACACACATTCATTCACTGTGGCCAATTTAGCTCATTCAATTCACCTATAGCAAATGTGTTTGGACTGTGATAGAAACCGAAGCACCTGGAGGAAACCCACGCCAAGACAGGGAGAACATGCAAACTCAACACAGAAATGCCAACTAACTTAGTCAGGACTCGAATCAGCGACTTTCTTGCTGTTTCAATGTACTATAATCTTCTATGTGAAGCTGCTTTGACACGATCTACATTGTAAAAGCGCTATACAAATAAAGATGAATTCAATTGAATTGTGAAGCAACTGTACTGACCACTGAGCCACTGTGTCGCCCATCAATACATCTTCATTCCTGTAACTCAAACAGTAAAGATCGCAACAGCAAGGTCTTGGGTTTAGTTCATGCATGATTTGAATCGTTGTAGATAATATGCTTGGATATAAATGCATTAAAGTACAGAATCTGTACTGAATCAAGCGTGTTGTGAATGACTGAACAGCAGCACAAGAATCATATCAATTAATATTACACTGATTGCTTTATTGATCTGTATTTTTAGTGGGTTTTGTAAATTAATGGTGGGAATGTTCGAAAATCTGAAATTATATTTATATCAGATATATATCACAATGTTTTTTGTCATTTTGTTTTTAGCTTTATTTAGTTTTATGCTATTTTATTTTAAATTATGATTATAAATTTTGTTTTATTTTGTCTGTTTTATTTATTTGCTATTAGATAAGTTTTAATTAAACATTTTTTTGTTTTATTTGTAGTTTTTCAAAGCATACACTTTTTAATTAAGATTTTTTAGGTTTTTTTATTTTATTGTTTAATTTATTGTTTTATTTTTTGTTTTAATTTGGTTTTAGTTAAGTTTAGTTAAACATATTTTCATTTTATTTTATTTGTAATTTTTTAAATCATTTAATTTAGGTTTGTTTTTATTTTGTTTATTTTATTGTTTATTTTTTGTTTAATTTTATTTTTGTGTTAATTTGCTTTTAATTAAGTTTAGTTAAACATATTTTATTTTATTTGTAATTTTTGAAAAGCATTTAGTTTTTAAATTAGTTTCTTTAGGGTTATTTGTTTATTTTGCTTATTTTATTGTTTATTTTTTGTTTTGTCTATTTTGTATTTTTTTGTTTTTAATTAAGTTTTAGTTAAACATTTTTATTTATTTATTTATTCATTCATTTTCTTTGGGCTTAATTCCTTTATTAATCAGGTGTCGCCACAGCGGAACAAACCACCAACTTCCAGCCGCAACCCAACACTGGGAAACCCCCAAACACTCTTGCACACACTCATATACACTAAAGCTAATTTAGTGTATCCAATTCACTCAATTTTTTAATTTAATTTATTTTTGAATTTGCTTTTATTTACGATTTAGTTCAGCCAATTTTTATTTTATTTTTATTTTTTAAAGCATGTCATTTTCATTTGAGTTTATTTAGGTTTTTTTTTTTTTTTTACTTTTTATTTAGTTTGTTTCATTGTTTATTTATTAACTTTTCATTTTATTTATTTTTTGTTTTATCTGTTTTTAATTAAGTTTTAGTTTATATAGTTCATATTTTTATTTTATTTCATTTGTAATATTTGTAAACCTTTAATTTTTAATAGAGTTTCTCTGGGTTTGTTTTTTAACTTTTTATTTTGTTTATTTTAGAGTTTTTATTTATTTATTATTATTATTATTATTATTATTATTATTATTATTATTATTATTATTTGTTAGTTAAACATATTTAAATTTTATTTTATTTTATTTACTTTTTAATTGAGTTTCTTTAGGTTTGTTTTTTTAATTTTAATTTTGTTTTTTTATTGTTGATTTTTTTGTTTTCATTTTCCTTTAAGTTGTATTGAAACATATTATTATTTTTTTTACTTGTAATTTTTTATATAAAATTTTTATCTTTAAGTTTTCATTAACTTTCATCTACAAACACGTTCTTTACTCTTGCTTTTCAGTATGAACGACTGGAGAATATTCCAGAACTGGGCATTATGATCGATCAGGGTGACGGAGACACGGAGCGGGAAGACAAAGTGCATCCTCAAATAACAGGAAGTGACATTGCAGAGCCAGGACCACTTCTGCTGCCATCGCCGGAGAGATTCCAGTACCAGAAACAGGTCAAAAACTGCAACATTACAGATAAACTGCTACTTTTAGAAACAGTTAAAGTCAGAACTATTAGCCCACATGAGTTATTAGCCCTTTTTTGTGCCCAATTTCTGTTTAACGGAGACCTTTTTTTTTTTTTTTTTTTTAACATTTCTAAACATAATAGTTTTCATAACTCATTTCTAATAACTGATTTGTTTTATCTTTGCCATGATGACAGTAAATAATATTTGACTAGATATTATTCAAGATTAACCTTAAGCCTTTAAATGTCACTTTAAGCAGAACACTATGCTTAAAGTGACATTTAAAGGCTTAACTAGGTTAATTAGGTTAAAGTTACGGTTATCAGGCAAATCATTGTTTAGCGATGGTTTGTTTTGTAGACAATCAAAAAAATATAGCTTAAAGAGGCTAATAATATTGACCCTAAAATGTTTATAAAAAATTTAAAAATTGCTTTTATTCTAGCCGAAATAAAACAAATAAGACTTTCTCCAGAAGAAAAATATTATCAGACATACTGTGAAAATTTCCCTGATCTGCTAAACATCATGGGAAATTTTTAAAAAGGCAAAAACAAATCACATAATTCTGACTTCAGCTGTATTCTGGTAAACAAAGTTGCAAAAATGTTCTCTCAAATGATTCAACCACAAATACATTTTTAATGGTTGCTTTTTTACACATGTAGTGTCATGAACTGTAAACTAATATCTGTAGCTGTAATCGGCCCATAAAAGTTAGGCCTGACAGAATTCAACGCGAGCCCGACAAGTACATTTTGATTGACAAGCCTGAACCTGTTTATATTCAAATGTGCACATGCAGCTCTTTTGCCTTTTTCTAAGAATGAGTCGTTTACATGTTTTCTAACATAATTTACCTACAACACACGCAGGCTATAAATAGGGCCAGACGGAATCTGCGTACATTTCTTGCTATTTCTGCGCAGAATTGTGTTTAAGATCTGCGAATTTATGCAGAATGATTTTGGGAGTATCAAAAGTAAAACTTTAATATTTTAAATAAAAAGTAATACCTTTTTTAACTTATTTAATGTTTACAATGCAAATCCAATTAGATCCAAATCCAAAGCAAGTCTCTCATATAATATCTCTACTAAAAGACAAAATATATTACTTTACAAACTGTATTGTAAATAATTCATATACATTTTTTCATACAAGTCGATAATCTTACTGTAATTAATTTAAGAACTGAATAAATATAGATTTACACACATTTACACAAATAAATAAACAGAATCAAAGATGGGCTAAATATCTGCTGAATTCTGCGAATGCAGATTAGCTTGAGGCCGCTTGGAAGTTGGAACAAAGATATCAAATAAGTCCTCTGTACCACTGTAACATCTCAGCACTCTAGGCCTACAGTAGGTACATACACTAAACCTTTAAATTGGCCAACACACCAATAAAATGACGCGTATTTGACGAGTATTTGGCAATAACAAAATTAAGATCAAGGCTCTGCAGGATTTGTTTCGCCACTTCTCTTCACAATCCGGCCACGGTGAAGCTGAATATTCATTCATTCATTCATTCATTTGCTTTTCGACTTAGTCCCTTTATTAATCTGGGGTTGCCACAGCGGAATGAACCATCAACTTATCCAGCATATGGTTTGAGCCTTGGTCAGTTGGCATTTCTGTGTGGAATTTGCATGTTCTCCCCGTGTTGGTGTGGGTTTCCTCCGGGTGCTCCGGTTTCCCCCACAAGTCCAAAGACATGCGCTATAGGTGAATTGGGTTAGCTAAATTGTCCATAGTGAATGTGAATGAGTGTGTATGGGTGTTTTCCAGTACAGGGTTGCGGCTGCAAGGACATCCTCTGTGTTGACAAATGCTGAAATAGTTGGCAGCTTATTCTGCTGTGGCGACCCTTGAAAAATAAGGAAGGAAAATGAATGAATGAATAAGGCCTCATTAAATGTTGAGCTGTGATTAATAAAGGCTGCACAGGAATTGTTTATATTTAGTTCATAATTAGATTACTTAATGAAACCTTACTGTAAAGTTATTGTCGAAGCTTTAATAAGATTGCAGTCTTTTAACGATTAATCATGAAGCTCTGCTAACGCAGGATGTCAAATATTCACCTTAAAATCTACCCTGTTTACCGCAGTAAATATTAAAACACACCAGCTGTCTGTCAGCTCTATATAAAGATCTACTCTATTATTTACCTCCGCTAAGTGCGCCAGTTTGCAAGCCACTTTATTTTTGCAGATCATTAAAAGCTGCCACATATCGTCATCTTGTTTGGGTGCATGTGGTCTTGTTTTGCTCATATAATTTTGCTCATTCATTTCTCAGCATGTGCATGAATGAATTTCAATATAATAAGACGCTTATGCTGAACACACAGTTTTAGCCCGGTGCAGTCGGCTTCATTGACGCTGCGGTTTTGTGCTTTTGCTGACACAGCCAACATACAAACAACCTTAGTAAGATATTGGCTTATTGAACCATCGCTCATTACCTTTAAAGTGTGCTATTTCTGCGCCAGTGAGGGACCATTTGATGCTATTTTAAAAGGGTTTTTAGTGAGTGTACCAAAAAAGGTTAAAGGAGAACATTCCACTTTAATGGAAATAGGCTCATTTTACAGTTAAACAGTTAAGTTTTACCATTTTATTGCATTCAGCCGATCTCCTGGGGCCTTATGTGCAAAGACTTGCGTTGAAGTCATACTAAAACATTGCGTATTTACAAAGCTGTAAATGTACATACGCAGTAAAAAAACTTAGATGTGGAATCCCACTCATATTCTCTTTGTACATCTGAATTAATGTGAAATTGAGCTTAACATGCATGAGCGCAAAACCCCTCCCTGTCTCCTCCCCCGTATAAATATGGTGATGATTTCACTTTGTCAAAACCAAAGGAAAAAGCAATGGCAAAAGCAAGCAAGAAGAGAAACTTCACAGAATGTGAATTAAAAGTGCTCTTATCAGAGACAGACAGAAGAAAAACTGTGTTATTTGCAAGTTTGTCCTCCAGAATTAATAACAAAAAAAAAAAGAATAGAGTGGTTATAGTAAAGCTGACGCGGTTAACACACTGGGGTCTGAACATCGCACTGTGAGTGAATTAAAAAAGAAATGGTCCAATGTAAAGGTGCAGAGGAGAACAGCGGCACACCGTCAAAGTTGTGGACCGAACAGGCAGGGGAACAGGGGATACTTAACTAATACCCTTTGAGGAGAGAGTTGCCTCAATTGTGGTTGACACTTTACTGTCTGAGTAGTATCACTTTACTGAGTAGTATCGGTGTCTGTGGGAGACACTGATGTATTAGAGGAACACTTTGTTAGGGCGATATAACAGCACCGTTTTGCTCTAATCAAGGCAGCGCCACTGGCATTTCAGATGCTCAATAACTCACTCTAAAACTGACTGAGTGCGAGAATAGCCATCATTGTTTCTGTGCTCTTGGTCAGTTTGTGGGTTGTTGAGGGGGATTAACAGCCACGTCTTTAATGGATAACCGCAGTCTCCTGATATGCAGTTGAATAATTACACTCAATAAAAAAACTTAGCTGGAATAATATCTTTAAATGCATCAGTCACCAAGAAGCCACCCATCACGCACCCTGCCACCTTGGAGCCTTCTTGCTGTCTCTCTTTCCAAATTTGGACCCAACTCAGCACAGAGCTCCAAGAGGATATCTCTTGGAAATCTGAAACAGCTAATAAGCCAGTCATCATCGTCGGCCAGAAGATCACTGTGATCCCTAAAACTTCATTCCCTTCGGATTCGACCATTGACAATGTCTTCTAATAAGGCCAACACTGCCATTGCCATAAACTGAGGGCTGTATACATTTGCAAATGCTTTAATATGTTCTAAATCACATAACTGGTAAGAAAAAATATTGTATCAATTAACCCATTTTATCAATTATAAAGGAATAGCTTATAAATTAACATGTTTTTCTCATGTGTTGGTGCGATACTTTGTAGTGTGCAATTCAACATAATTGCCTCTAGGAATCGCCAGTGGAAATAAAACAAACACTCACAAGAAATACACATACACCAGACATAAAGCTGATGCGGACCAACGCACACTCTCACGTTATATTCATCATTGGTAAATCCAAACGTGAGTCTGAAACCTGGCGTATGCAAAGTTTTTGTGCGCACGCAGCATTGATACATGAGGCCCCAGGTCTGGCAGGAGCACTTTTAGCTTCCTTGAATCAGATTAAACCATTAGCATCTCGCTCAAAAAAAACCAAAAAGTGTTTTGATAATTTTTGATAATATTCCTATTTCCTATTTTATTTCCTTGACTCTTCTGTTGTTGCATAGTGTACTAAGACTGATGGGAAATAAAAAGTTGCTATTTTCTTGGCTGATAAGGCTAATAACCATATAGTGTAAAAAATGTGGACGTAGCATCCGTGACGTTCCCTATAGGTTTCTGAGGAACCCAAAAGAAGCTACCTTTGCCATTTTGTTTGTACGTCATCACACAAACCTGAGGTGCCCAAAAAAGGGCAAAGAGACGGACCGTCATTGGAACTACAGATGCTTGGTAGCATTTTGCTTGGAAGGGCTTTTCTTTGGGAGGAACGCTTAATACTTTACTACTTGCGACTCGTTTGTGTTCTGACCACATGCGCTTGGTTGTGCACTATACCGATAAAGTGTTTATTCTTTTAAAAACACTGCTGTAATACATTGAGCCACTAAACATTGTTCTTATGAGGTTTTTCTGCAGGAGGAAAACACAAATTTCTTCCAAACACTTCAAATATAGTCTGTGTTAGTAAATGTAAAGCTATTGATGAAATCCAGCATAACACTGTATGACAACACTTCAGATGACTGTTCTAGAGCCTACAGCTAATCAATCTGACAGATTCTGGAGTGCATTCAAGCTCTAAAGAAAACTATAAATGATAAATGATTTTAAATTAAAAAAAAATATAGATATAAGTATATAATTTCACTCACCTGGGAAATAGAGGCAACTTGAATGGTTTGTGAGCACAATTAAGCGCACACAGCATCCCATATTATCTGATAATTGTAGGAAATAATTCCAGAAGGCAACTGACTGTGTAAAGCCACATTAAACAAAAGAAAAATATGATGTATATGCAGAGTTCAGCGGCTAATCAGCTGGAATCAGCTGAGGTGAAGTGACGGTGACCAGCAAGACCTAGCTGTCACTCAAGTGGCCCCGCCCTTAATTATAAAGACTTAATATAACTTAATATAAAGGAAACGAAAAAATTCACCCCCCTCACAGTTGTCATGAAGTGTAATTTTAGCTATATATGTTGCAGGCCCTGCCTCCGGAGACCCAGCAGACAGAATACTGTTTAACTGTAAAACAGGATAATGAAATGAAAACCACGGAGTCACGTCTGCTCCCTTGCAGCTCCTCTGGCGATCTGAGGGAGCGCGCAGTTCACCGTGGTGGTTTCCGTGGATCGAGTGTCAAAATAAAATTCCTCTCGATGAAATTGCAAATGTCCACTATTTTGCAAACTAATACTGCACAAAAATATTTTATAACTTTTAAACCCATCTTATTTAAACAAAACAACACAATTGTATATACACTTTGTGTGTATCACATATACACCAAATCCATCTTTTGTACCTGGCTGTAAACATGTTTTTATCAGCTGTAAAATAGCCAATTTACTATTGCAGTCAGTGAACATCTGGAGTTCCTGGAGCCAGCCCCCAAAAGGCGAGTCGATGAATTGCAGTTTCAGTTACTTGGCTTCACATGGGAGAGCAGGAGGTTGCTGCTTGCTAATAACTGTAGTCTCGTTCTGGCATAATAATCAAGGATTTTTGATGCTGTGCCATGGCTGCAGTAGGGGCAATATTATTATGCCTCATCTGAAAATAGTCTCCAGCTAGATAACTAGGGAATTATACAAATATTAACTATTACAATGAGTCGAAGGAAAATGATTGAATTAATAAATAAAAGCAATAATAATTGTTAAAAAGTGATAAAAGATAATCCTCTGAGCAGTAATGTTGTTTTCTCTGTACAGGCGTGTGACAGTCGGCGTGTTCTGCATGCGCTACGGTCTCTGCTGGAGGAGTTCAGGGCGGAGCTTCGGGAGGAGGCGGGGCGGCGCTGGCAGCTGCAGCAGGCGTTAGCCAATGAGAGAGCGGCATGGGAAATACAGCGCGCTGAAATGAGGAGTCACATCAACACGGTATAATTTATTACATTACATTACAGCAGAGTCACCTGCAGACTTAGGTTCAGTTCATACAGATTATGTTTTTTGTTTCAGTTTTTTTTCTATGTAAACACCTGATTGATTGATGTGGGTGATGTTTCGTGAGTCTTTTGAAACGTCTCACTCGTGGCTTCTCCACTTAACCATAAGACTGTGGTCTGTGTGGGTCCTATTGCCCCAGTATAGTGAAGGGGACTCTATACTGCTCAGTGAGCACCGTCTTTCGGATGAGATGTTAAACCGACTCTCTGTGGTCATTAAAAGTCCTAGCATGTCCTTTGAAAAAGAGTAGGGGTTTAACCCCGGCATCCTGGCCAAATCTGCCCACTGGCCCCTGTCCATCATGGCCTCCTAACCATCCCCATATCATAATTTTCTTCATCACTCTGTCTCCTCTCCACCAATCAGCTGGTGTGAGGTGTGCAGTCTGGTGCAATATGGCTGCCATCGCGTCATCCAGGTGGATGCTGCACACTGGTGGTGGATGAGGAAATTCCTGCCAAAATCTATGAAGCACTTTGAGTGCCGAGAATAAAATATTAAAAATTATTATTATTAATGTATTGTGGGAAATATTAACTATTAGATTAAGCACGGATCTGAACTTTGGATACCATCTAGGTAAAGCCTGGTTTATACTTCTGCGTCAAGTGAACGGCGTAACCATTAGCGGCATGCAACGTGCGTAGCTGTGCATTTATACTTCTGCGCGCTGTCTCTGTTGATCTGCATTACACTTCCGAAACACTAGTTGGCAGTGAGGTATTAATGTTCCTCAGTGTCGAGTTTCTTTGCTGCTGTTTTGCTTTTCCTGAACACTTCGTGGATGTACAAGTGACTCAAAGTCGCTCATTTTGAGGCAGGAACCGGCGGACGTGCAACAACTTTAACTATGAGGTAAACACAAAACAAAACTTTCCATCCGGAGCTCTTTCACGGGACTCTACACTTGTAAACAGTCGCTCCATTGGGCTCACGCCCAGCTCTCGCCATTCGCGCAGCTCTTGGTCCCGCCCAGACTCGTCAGCGGTAGCAAGCCGACCAATCACAGAGCTTGTGCTACGCGTTGTTGCGACGTGTAGTTACATTTTTTGAGAAGTGCACGTCAGTGACGCCGACGGCCACAGCGAAGGGCTATGCGTCAACACCGTAGCATGCGCGTGCATTTGACGCAGAAGTATAAGCTTCTGTAGAAGAAGTATAGTCTTAACTCTGGAATACTCATTTTGACATACTATGTTTTGGGCAACACAGACTCATTGTGAAATATGTACCTTTGTCTACATTTCTATAGAGTTTGAATTATGTAGCCAGCGGTATGTCTGTCTTTTTTGTCTACGGGGCAGGATGATGCCATAGATGGCTTCTGCTCCTTTAGCCATACCAGCTAACCTCCATATAGACAACTTTTCAGGTGTTACCAGTTTGGCCAGTAGCTCACTGCTTTTGTTAGTGGACTTAAGATGTGGAGCACAGTTGGCCGCGATGACAGGGTTCTAGTCTGGAGAAGAACAGTTCCAGACAGGGGCGCCCCCCACATCTAACCCCCCCTACCCCTACACACACACACACACACACACACACACACACACACACACACACACACACTTTTAAAATGTCCACTCCACATCTGGTTTCAGAAAGCAGGTAAAACAAAAGCAAAAATAAATAAATAAATAACAGACTGAAAATGTGGTGAAATCACGCGGCCGCAATGGCTTTCTTTTTCTAGATTGCTCTTGAAAACACTATGGGTTGGGCTTAGGACAGGGGGTGGATGGATGAGTCGGTCAGTCTGAGTCAGTTGACTCAGCCTTGGCGGCTGAAGTGCATATTGCGCCCTCTGGTGGATTTGTGCAAGAGTAATTTGATCATCAAAAAGCATACACAGCGGCCTCTGGCGGATTTGCAAAAAAAATAACTGCAAGCAGATGTACCTCCGGTTACGTATTTCGCTGTGCCCAGAAATGTAGACCTCGGTATGTATTCGCAATGAGCCTGGGTTGATTTTGGCACACACTAATTACATTTTTCTTAAAACTATTTAGGATGGATAGGTGTCAACTTAAAAGAATTTCAAATTTTACACATATCACGGTTTATTAATCTCAGTTTAAAAGCAATGGACCAATCAGAAGAACTGGGAGGCGGAACAAGGGTTGTGAGCTTCTTTTTACAATAGCAAGTTAGAATGTGAGAGTGTATGGGTGTTTCTCAGTACTGGGTTGCGACTGGAAGGGCATCTGCTGCATAAAACATTTGCCGGAATAGTTGGCGGTTCATTCCGCTGTGGCGACCCCTGATAAATATGGGACTAAACTAAAGTTCTTCAGCCCTTTCATCAATGTTTAACGTGACTTTCTGAAAGGTCAAATGACTGAAATGCCATACCTGTAATTACATTTTACCTAAACGTGAATCTAGTAAAGCAGCAAGTGTTAAGACATTAAGGATCTGCAGTGGAACTAATTTCTGCTCTGTTTTGGTTTCTGGGGGAGTTAGTTATCTTTAAATAGATGGTTTATTTATGGAGTGCTGCAGTTTGGCTGTCAAACATAGTCACAGTCTATTAAAAGAAAGGAGATGTCAGAGGAGCCCTGCTCATTCACACAGCAAGCGGATGTAGGAAAGTCTGACTGGACATTAGAAAGGTGTATTTGAACTTGATGAACCACATTTAACTTTAAACGTTACCTAGTTTAATTGAAAAATATATAATTAGTATGTGATGATGTGTCAGAAGTTGTTTGGATTTAAACTCTCCCATACTGTTTATTCCATTCCGTGCATAATACTCTATTTACCTGTAGTTAATCCTCTCTTTTGTTTGCTAAAAATAACATTAAAACGGTATTACAACGTTAAAACTGTATGCAGCACTAATAATAGAAACAACATAAATAATAGCAATCATTGCAGTAATAATAATAAATACAAAAATTGTATAATAATAATAATAATAATAATGATGATATTTGAATGTTTGATTTAGAAAGGGGAATTTTGTAAAAACCTGAGAAATCAAATAAAGAAATTAAAATCATCATTTCATAATAAACTATTCACATTCTAAATGTTAAATTGAATAAGTATAATTTAAAATACTACTACTACTAATAATAATAATAATAAATTATAATAATTATATCAGTAGTAATGATGATAATAATAATAAAAATAAATATTTAAGTAAAAAATTGTATTAATAACAAAACAATAGTTTTTCAATTATATAATAATAGTATTTAATTCAGTTAGTTGAAATAAAAATCAACAATGATAATAACAATAATACATATTTTATAACATAATAATGTTATTATTAATATTTTGAATAAATAATTTAGTACGTGGAATTTATAATAATAATAATAATAATAACAATACATGTTTAATTTAGTAAGTAAAATAAATACATAAATAAACAAATATTAATAAATATTTTATAATATACTTCTCATGATTTGAATGTTTAATTCAGAAAGTGGAATTTAAAACAATAATAATAATAATAATAATAATAATAAATATTTTTTAGTAATCAAAACAAATAATATTATTAATAACAAGAAGAACAAGTATTTAATTATATAATACTAATGTTTAATTCAGTTAGTGAAATAAAATAAATAATTAAATAAATAAATAAATAAAGAATAATAATAATAATAATAATAATAATAATAACAATAATACATTTTGTATAACATAATAATATTATTATTGATATTTAAAATGTTTAATTTAGTTAGTGGAATTCAAAATAATAATAACAATAAATGTTTTATTTGGTAAGTAAAATAAATAAATTAATGAATATTACAATAATAATAATAATAATAATAATAATAATAATAATAATAATAATAATAAAATAATAGTATTTAATTCAGTTAGTAAATAAATAATAATAATAATAATAATAACAATAATATATATATATATATATATATATATATATATATATATATATATATATATATATATATATATATATATATATATATATATAT